CCCTCCCATATATATATATACTTTAGGTACTTGCACAGCATCTTCCCTCCTCTCTGTATCACTACCCACCTACGAGCGCACTTCATCTTCGTGTCCGTCGTCTGCTGCCACGTCTCGTCAAATGCCAAAATCTTCTCAACCCGTTTCCTCGTTGACTCGGATGGGGCTGAAATACGGGTGGCGTGCGATTCCTTCGTTCCCTCCCACTCAAGGTCCCCAGTCCGTTTAATTCGAGAACGTTGCTGGTTCCTGTCTTTTCGCTAAATCAGGAACATATTTCTACCTCCTTGGATCCTCCGTCTGGCTCTCATCTGACTTACAAATGTAATCACTAAGGGCGGTACCCAGAATCATCCACGCGGGGCCCCGTGACCGAGGCTTCCGGAGGCTTCCGTTCCTACGTGCCGCACGACTGGGAGAGTTAAAACCTCGTGAATCATGTCGCGCGATAATACCCCTTCAACAATGGCGCTGCGAGCGACTCCCGTCGCCCGATCCTGGAACTACGACAAGGTTAGACAGAGGGGATAGCAGGAGGGTAGAGCGGAGGTAACAGAGGTACTGGTATTAGAGAGCCTTCGGGTCTCGCTTTATACCTGGATGTTAATACGGGTTATAGCTCGGAGCGAGAAAACAGTGGCTGCCGCAAGGAGTTGTGGGTAGGCGAGGAAGGTTCGAGAATGGGGTGGACGGTAGGGGGGATCCGCATTAAAAATAAAACATTTGACTCGTTCGAACGGCCGACTTATTTTTCGCCCAAAACGGTCTCTCCGACGCGTATCGACGTTGTTAAACTCTGTGTACGCCTGCCAGAGGCCACGTATGAATTATAGCGTTCGGGCACGCGTAAACCCACGATGTAGATACGATCTGGCGTAACTGCCTGCCTACGTGATTACGCTCTTTCGATTGTCGCTTATAATAATGGCCGACGACGCGATTCGGGAGCGTGCACGTGATGCCGGTAAACCGAGGTACCCTACCTTACCGACCGGCTGCGTAAACGGGAATCGGGGTTGTCAACTGCGGTTCGTCATTATTGTTTTTCTTTCTTTCGCGGAACCGATGGCCAGTCCACTTGAACGCTCTTATTTATCCTCGTGGGCTATAAGGTAACTTGTGCAACGGTCGGAGACTCTTTATTCTATTATTACACGCAGTCCGGTTACACCTCGCGCATTGCTGCCCGTTGCGACACTTTAATTATAGCGACGGATGAAATCACCCAGTTCGGCTACCTTGGCTAATTGCTACGACACACCTATAGGCTCTTTGGACTTTTTCCTGCGATACTGTTTTCTTTTTTTTTTTTTTTTTTTCCC